TATATATATATTCTTGCATATCATACAAATCTTGCATCTTTACATATTTAACACCTAAACTGCATACCTACGTACATGCCACCAAATTTTACGCATCAACATGCCTAAAATCTGGGCTATGACATTTACATGATACCATGCAAAGCCTATAGTCTAGTATCTAAATTTAAATATTTACATGCGTACTATGAAAATCATATATATTTAAGGGCCTAAAATCTAAATTTTGATATATACAGGTGTACCGCCTTAATTATTACGTGTTTTCATGTCTAATACCTAAGGTTTAATACTTTCTCGCATGATGCTTACATGTTTTGAAATATTTGCGTGCATGCCATTCAAACGCAATCAGAATTTAGCCACTTTCAAACCGTCACATTTCCTCGGTTCATATCAAATAAATCAACGGTTAATATTTTTCCGACTTCCGTAGGTTACCGACTGTTTATTGGTAAATTGGAAACGGGTGGTCGATCCGACGGCTTTTATTTATCGACGATTTTTCAAAAAAATATGAAAGCCATTGGTTGTTGTCGGTTTCTAGTTTCTGATTATTGACTAGCAAAAAAATGTAACAATAAGCAATGGGTGGACAGTCGGTAAACTGTGACAGGAGTCTTTTTTATGATGCAGTAAGATATGTCGGAATCAGAACCGATGAGATAACCGTCGATAAATTGAATTGTCTATCAGTTTATATCGAAGTTAAACTCACCGATTCCCCGTTCGTTAGGCGGTGATAATATAACCGACGACGAAAGCTGCAATTTTCACGACAATTGCTCGACAAATTGTTAGAGGAAAGCCGACGAATAGCCGTTCCGAAACCTGTAGCACAAAAAAATAAATCTTCTATTTGATAGTTACTGTTCTTACACCTGTAATCGATAGACATGAAATTAAATACCATAGCTACAACACACCATAAACATCTCTAAACATTTAGCTGACTAAAATCACAAAGTAAAATTTTCAACCGAACAAAAAATTAATGAAAATTAATTTAATTAAGCATCTAACACCACTATTCAATAAAAGAATATCAGCTCAAATGTTTAATAAAATAATATAAAAATGAAAAAAGTCCCTCGCTAATCATCCTTCGTCTCCTTGTCATCTTCATCCTCCTCATCCAATTGTTGCTTCTTGCGCTGCTTTGACCAACATCAAAACACATCTAACTACGCCTTCAACTTGACCTCCAACTCCCACCTCATCTGGGTGAAGCAAACCTCTATCTCGGCAGCGAATGCAACAACTCGCTTAGAAACCTCATCCTAGTGTGTGGTAGAAGTAGATGCATCAGATGCACTGGTGGAGGGGGTGAGTGTCCTAGAAGAACACTTGAAACCCGAGCTCGTGGACTCGACTCTTCTTCTTGCCGCAGACAGTCTCCCTCCATAGGTTGTATTTAGACAGATTGCGATATCAAATCATAATACAACTTGACGACTGGGATTGACTCCCCTTCAACTGCTTGAATTTTAATACAAAAAATTGTTTACGTACAGTTAAAGCGTGAATAAATAGCAAAGTAGTTTTGCTTGTGAATTATTTGGATCGAAGTTGCTCCGGATGTGTGCCACTGGCTCAGAGCATCAGGTGAATTGTTTATACAAAATTACAAGAATTAAGTTCATTTGATAAATAAATAAAAATAACTTAAGATATTTGTGAATGATACATACCGCAAAATCCTTAAATCAAAGAACTTGAATGGCCATCGGGATCTCCTTCCACGACAATTACGCAGAGTCGTACTAACTACGAATTATATCTCAAAAGGCATGAATAGTCTGGACTTTGGTGGGGGGAACCATGTTTTCATTCCTTTATCATTTTTTATTTTCTTAAGGAGTCGTCAATTTGTCCATTGTCATATGCTTCCCTTTTTCGAATAATCTCTCTTCTGGATTGTAGGAACGATCAAGAGAAGAGATGAACCGAAAAAGACAGACTTACAATAATGATGAAAAATAAGAGAAAGAAAACATGAAGAGCTTACGTGAGATAAACCTCACAAGGATATGTCAAGTATGCCCGCCCACATAAAATCAGGTTGATGCACATTGGACCAATATTCGTGAAAAAATAACTATGTAGACTATCCATAAATAGAGATTCAGGTGTATTTGCCTATTTTGGGGTCCAAAGCAGCCGCAAGGGAACGCACCCACTTGGTTAATTACATTATGGGGGTTACTTAGCAACACTCTTGATCCAAAGAAGTTTTGCTTACATTAGTAGTGACCACTAGCGTAGGGTTATCAAAAGATGATTACTTCACATAGGAATACTCTGATTCTTTCAAAGATCCTACTAATCCATGAAGCAAAAAATGAGTTTCTTACAATCCCACGTGTGTAGCAGACTCATCGATATGCGGAGCTTACAAAATAACCAATTCATCTTGACGGGGGTATCCCTATACGTCAAAACACTCTAGGTCATAAAGGCAAAGGACAAATCATTGTATCCCAAACGAGTGACAACTCATCGATAATCTGGTTGTCGAGATAATACCAACAAAGGTAAAAGGAGCAATAGGGCTTAACAAGGTTAGTCAAAGGAAGGAATGAGCATCCCTAGAAGGTAGAGGTAGTTGGTTCAGGGAACCACGAACCCGTCATCTCAAGCTACTAGGACTCTATGTCTACCTCGTTGTGAAAGTAGTCCGCCCAACATGTCCAAAGATTCCCGATCATCAATTTGTGAATTGCATCTTCCGCGGGAACCTCGACAGCCCTAAGATCAAAGGAACAAAACTCCATCCTATGACTATTAGGTGGAGCTCCAACAGGAGTGTTGAACTTCCACTTCACTTCTTATTTGCACCATTGTTAAGGAAGATCTTACAATTTTTTTTTTTCTTACGACCTTAAAGAATAATCATAAATCTGAATCAGTAATGTGAATAACTTCATATAGTGGTTTTAATAAGTTGCAACCTTCTTGCAAAAGAGAGATATTTTTGCTTCCAACTTGATAACCAATGTTATAATCTATCAATGAGGATGAGACATTCATCAGTAACAAGATTATAAGATTTAATGATAACTTCTAAGATTTTCCATAAGTGAGGCTTAGGCGAAAAAACACTTACATCACAAATCCTTAGTTGCAACAAATTTGCAAAACAAATGCCTAACTTAGCACTATTAACACCCAATTTTGAGGTCTTGTGAAAGTTGTGAAGAAGAGCGGACATATTATTAAGTGAAATGCTATCAATCTTACCAAATATCAACAAGTCATCACATAAATAAGGTGAGAGGCGTTATATATGATTATGAAGAGATGGGTTGTTGTCATTAAAATGAGTGTGATGACCACCATCCACAAGAAAAAAAGGACATCCATCACAATTGCAAAGAGGTAAGGGGAGAGAGAACACCCTTATCATAGATTTGAATAGTGCAAGCTTTAATTCAGGGAACGAAGGAGAATGAAAATCCCAAATTAGTCATTCTATCATAAATAAATTGAGGATTAACATAATAAAAATATCCTTATGTGAGGGAATTATTAAATATCATTTTGTGATAGAATATGCTTAGAAATAAATACTGATTTCTTTTTTACATTTATTAGACTTTAATAACTATAATTATGTGGTTTAACTGCTTGACGCTACCCTTTATCATGCAAGTAAAAAAGTCAAAAAATTTTTTTTAGGGCATTTACATTCATACCACTCAATTCATTTATATTTACATTTCTAACACTTAAACTTTCATATTTATATATACGTACTACTCAAACCTTTGACATTACATTAAAAATATCATCATCACCATATTTATAAAAATTAAATACACTTTTTGATGCATAAATTTATAAAACCCACGTGTTGTAATTGTAAATATCAATTTTTGATGTTAGATATGTAAATATATAATATATAAGAATTGAGGTAGATATGTAAATTTACTTTTTTTTTTCAAATCCCCACCTGCTTATTGATTTTATTGTACTTATTTAATTAAATAGTCTCAAGAAAAGATAAAGAAAAAATCGAGTAATTTGCTTTTCGTCTCCATTGTCACATTTGTCGAGCTGTAACTCACGTAATGTGTCAAGTTCAACTTAAGCTATACATAGGGTTGTCAAGACGGCTCGTTCGTTAAGTTAATGAGACGAACACAAATAACACAAATAAATGTTTCTTCATTCGTGTTCGGTTAGTTTTGGCTCGAAATACTACTAATCAATTATTTTATTT